ATGAATTACTAACGGATATACTATTAAAAACTAGATGTGTTGGAGGATGTGTTTTCCCTCAAAAGAAAACCACAAGTGTGGCGCTACCTCACGTCATTGCCATCTAGGTAAGTCATATTCAGACTTTGCAAAACAATCTGTTCTCACGCCAAGACGCTCAAGTGCGGGAACTTGTAAAGCAATTTGGATGTCCAAGAAGCCTGTAACACCACATTGACCATCACCACAGAGTTCATAGATCCTTGAATAGGCAGCACACGCCAGCCTGGGAAAAACTACTTCCCCGCCCTGCAACTGCCTACAATTGGTTTGGCGTCTTCATTTGAGCTAAGGAAGTTGGTTTTCTTCACGTTCGACTCGTCCTTCAGACCGCTCTCTACCAGCACGCCCTGCCATTCCTACAGGTTGTTCTGAAAAACTTCCCTACTATCCATTGGCAGAGCGATGTCATCAGCGTAGAGGATGGTCTTCGATGGTACTTCATGTGTCCTTCCGTGATGAGAAGGGAGGAAAAACTTTTTCTCGGAGAAAAAGTTTTCAGCGATGCGATTTTATTGTGGATGGAGGAACTTCCTTATTAAGAGCGCCACTTTTATAAATAAGTCTAGCATTTCAAATGAGAGGAGACATGAGACCTTGTGGTCTCAGGAATTATGATATTTTCGAAGTAGCTTAAAATAGCCTAGTGATACAGGTCATTCATGACAAGTGAAGGATACTTTTTATAGCAGTACTGGTCGCAGGTGGTGTAATGGCAAGTGGCACGGAGTGAATACTGGATCAATACTCGTTCAAGACAACCAGACCCTCCGTCCTTACGTGTCGGTCATTTGGCACCAGATTGGTGCAGGAGGATAAAATTGTTCGCTTGTCCATCGGCTGGCTACCGCGACTCACTTTACAGTCCACATTATGTTGATCTCCGAGTCGTCGGTTTAGGCTTCGATGACTTAGATCAAGGTAAGCCTATCGCACCTTTCTTATAAGAAGTCTGGGTTGTTTCTAGTCTAGAAGACTGTCTCAAGTTCTTCTGCACTTATCAGAGAGCCAATCTCAAGTGGTTTTTCGACTTGTTAGCCCTATAAATCAGAAATGTTAAGAAGGCTCAGGCAAACGTACTCAGTAGTCAAAAGTCACGTCAAGATCGAGAGGAATTGATTATTGTCTAGCCCACACAAGCATTCCATACCCCACCATGATTCTGAATGGAAGTCTAATGCCGGGATGCATCAGAAAACGGGATAGATAACGCCGAGTACTTGATCCTTTACCCTTTCGTATCAGAGCTACAATATTTGCATGCTTGGAGCTACCCCTTTTCCATTATCTTCCTACATAAGTGACCTCACTTGAAGGATTCTCACGAGAATCGGTACTTCGAAGTAAAAATGAGCACAAAAGCCTGTGTCCCAATCGAATCAATAAGCTGGGACCATGCCTTTGAGAACAACACAGTGTCCCATAAAATAAATGCAAGTTTTCAAAAATCAGACAAATTGCAAGATAGTGAGTGAAGTGCTAACAAGCAGGTGTTCACAATTCAATACGGCTGCGAAGTAAAGATAGAAAAGTCTAGAACTTTTTTCACAAAACTTAAGGTTGATGAAGTATCTTTATTATATCACAATTTTTCCGATAAATAAGTAATAAATTAGTATAAATACTCGTATGGCAGATATCAAGAGATCGCAGTCATTCAAGATGACCCGTATATTGTCTGTATCTATGTATGCTAAAAAAATCCTTAGCGCTCAGAAAGTGAGCCCCAATTAGGTCCTGAACGAATCTTGACTGGTAAAGGAACGAGAAAATCAGGGAAGACATTTTCCATGCAGGTTCGCATCCATTTTTTGACCTCTTCCTCCTCATCCTGGGCGCACTCGATGATAATTTCATCGTGTATGGTCATCACTAATCGTGTCGCTCCTGCAAAAAGTACAGTACTACTATGAAAAGGCATATAAAAAGACTGCATAAGTAAGCGCTACATCCCTCATCTAGAACGGCAACTGAGTTCTTTCTATAGGAGGATAGTCTGCTATCAAAAGAGTTTACCACACACAAGGACTAACTACGCAAATAGACGAAAACCTCACCCTTTCGGCCTTCGTCCAACGCCACTATGGCTCTTTTGAAGATCTCACTCGCGGTACCTTGAATTACATAGTTGATGCTCTGTCGATCGTCCCTCGCAACATCTTCCTGGCGTCCTCGGGTACTGCAAGTCACCCGTCTCCGACCTAAAAAAAACAGATGATTTAATCGATGGTGGATGGAATCCATCATCCATACAAGTCTCACAAGACGTTCAAAAAACGTCACTCACAGGATCTTGAGTTAACCGTGTAAACAAAAATCCGCAAATTTTTGCACAGTATCGAAAGAGAAGCTCAGACGATTCCAGAGCGAGAATCCCCTTACCTAATACGGTAGTGACGAAACCTGCTTTAACAGCTTTGTCCTTGGTATTATTGATGAATGTCCTCACCCCTTAAAGAGAAACTGTAAGCCATACGAACAAAGCGGGAAATGTCTCACATACTCACTTGGGAAAGACTGGAAGAAATTTTTAATGAGCTCGTTTGCTTCATTTACTGATTTCTTTACAGTTTCGCCAAGCGTTTTGGCACCCATTCCGTAAATAACACCATAGCACAGTTTCTTTGTTGTATCTCGTGAAATTCCCAACAGATGTGACATGTCTGCGAATACGTCCTGCCCTGAAATGAAACTATTTGGTGAGTACCTTACCCAAAAGCTTTGTTCAGGTGTCATGGACTTGGCACCGCTTTACCGACCACCATATTTATTGAGGGCACCACTGTTGGAAAGAGTTATGGAGTTGGAGTAATATACTGAGTTCAGCATGAGCTTTCGCTGAAACTTCTCCACTAACGTTCCGATGATCCTGCACTGATGTAAGAATGCCGAAGATTCATACTTTTATTTTCATTCATTTCTTCATTTTTCCTAGTTTTGGTAGCTTTTGGAACTTCTAAACCACTGATAGCTCTTTCTACTGCTTATAACGTTTCACTGTACAGGAGAACTACATACTGCTGTATGACCGTATAGTATGAGCGATTACGGTAGGAAGATAAATAAGAGTGCCTCTGAAACCTCTCTACCACTGCCCGGAAACCGTTCGGATAAATCCAGATGTGGGAAAAATATTGGCTTTGATTTCGGCATCTGCGGAGTGAGACATCAGTACTGATCAGTTCACGACAGTTGACTTAATTTCTGTCAAGTTTTTGGTGAGGCACTTTACTTTAACTAAAAGCATGAAGAAAAACAAAGCCAGTAAATGGATACTGCAAACCTCTTTTGAAAACTTCTATAAGAGCGGGATCTTCACTAAGATGGGCCAGCACACGAAGTTCCAATTGGCAGTAGTCGGCACTGATCAACACACAGCCTGAAGCAGAAAAAAAAATTTAAAAAAGAATCCGTCACAAGTAAACATATAGATTCTTATAGCAGGGGTCGAGAAAATATGTCCCTTCCCAGCATCATAATCACAAAGCATTGAAAGAAGTCCTGCCGGTCCCCAGCACATGCAAGTCAAATCAGGCTACCTAGATCTACGAATTTATCCGAAGGACAGAATATTTGAAGTAAAGAACAAACCTAAGCCAAACACGAAGAAAATTTAGGTTAAGAATGCTTCACTACGATCTTACAAAATATGAAATGTAAAACTCCTTCCGTTATATTCGCCTCAGTTCATGTAAAGAAGTACATAAACTCAAGACTTCTCACCTTGCTGAGCTTTGAAGAGGTGCCGAATACCGATCCCATCAAGCACTTCGTCTTTTGGTATCGTCTGCACGCTCGGTTCTACGCATAGAATACGTCCTGTTGAGGTATTCATGTCACAGTGGCTTCGAACCATTCCATCGACATCAACAAAATACTGCATTGGAATAAGACATTGCTGTAAAAGAACAAATAACGTGGATAAGACAAGGTTCGTCCAATCTGTTGTATAGAAGGGAGAGAGACAATCCGAGCAACCTGAGAAATGTCCCATGGCTTTACCCTGTACTGAGATAAATCTTATAAGCACCCAGAACTAGCACAGTGAAAACATCGCCTTGCTCAAAACTATTTATTACCGTTAAAGCGTGCTTCAAGCGACGGTACCGCAGAATGTTCGAGACTATTGGGTGTTGCTTCTCCATCTGCTCGAGAATCGCTTTACTGGTGGAGAGGTGTTTCTTGGTCGAAGAGCCACCCGGACAAGCGAGTTTGAGGCGAGAGAAAAGCACCTGAAAAGAATATCCACTGAAAGCCGAGTCTTCCTAAGAACTCCATACTCTAAACTCTTTGAATAGTCAAGACCGATGTTAAGACGAACCTCTGAAACTTGTTTGGAGCTGTCCAGGTTGAATTGGTGCCCGATAAGAGAAAAACAATCGCTTTCCAACTGCTCGATATTCTTCTTCAATCGCTGGATCAGCGATGAACAAAGTGCTCGATCGAAGCAGAAACCACCGAAGCACATTGAATTCACTGCCTGGTTAAAGGAATACGATTAGACGAGTGATGATGGATATGCTGAACGGTATCGAGGGATATTTTCTCGTGGAGGGTACGGAAGGAGGGATAAAAACGTCAAAAAGAAGTTCAGTTCTGAATAAAAGACTGATACCTGCAACGAACGCAATTCAAGATGAAGACTTTCCGAGGAAGAGCAGCTGATGACGATTGGAGTCAACATATCAACCAATCTGAAAATCGAATCAGCTCAGGCGAAGGGGATCTATGGCTAAGAAATAACCACCTACCTTGAAGCTAAGTATGCCTGAGTTCCACAAGCGATTCGTCGATTCATACGAAGTAGTGACGCATAATCAAAACTCCATTGGAACTTGGCAGCGATTTCATGGAGTGATTGCACTCGATCACCCTGTCGCAGATGCCCAAGGAAAGCCATATAAGATACTGATTTCACGCGAACTCCCTTGAAAATCTCATGACACAGAAGTTGCTAGGACCAGATCAGCTTGTCCACAAACCTTTAGGTCGAACGACCTCCTTAGGACATGACAGTCCCTGAGGGCGTCGATTAGGAATAGCTCACAACATCGCATAATCGAAGAAACACAAGAAACACGTTCGTCAAGTGTTATAGATTGGGAGGGTGTTGAAGATGGGCAAACCGCTTCTTCCTCATCATTCCCTGGAACAACACCTTCAGTAGGAGTGTATTCAAGCCCTGGGAAGTGAAGAAACAACGGGTAGAATATTTATGGCAGGATTTGCATCTGGCACTTCCAAAAGGAAAACCTTTGCAAAGCCGTCATATGCAATAGGAATTTTAGCTCCTCCCACTTGAACCTGTTTTTATGTGTAAGCCAATGTATACCTGGAAAGTATTCCTCCGTGAGAGGTATGAAGTGAGGCCAACCATCAGTAGGGCAAAGGCAGATCCCTGTGACTTTTGCAGCCGAAGCAGAGCTGCGCTCTTTCACCAGTGCCACTCCAACTTTGTCCCAAAGGGAGCTTCGCTGAACGAAATAGTTCCAGGCAGATTCGGTCCTGCAAAAATAGTATCAGTAAGGGAAGTTCTATGGAGCACGTTGATCAACTCTAACCGGCAAACATCGTTGATATCGAGATCCGTACTTGGAGCTGTGGGTGGCAATAGTCGTTCCATCCGCAAATTTTTCAATAGAGGACTTGCAGTGGACGGCGATTTGGCCTAAATATCAAAAAAGTACCGAATGCATGGCTCAGATATAGAAATGCAGTATGTATCTGATCTTAATTTTTTTTTCGACTTTGCATTTTCATTGACAGCCATCGGTCCAAATGGCCCAAGTCTGTACAACAATCTTTCCTTTCTGTATTCTTTCGTGCACAAAAAATGTTAAGGCGAACGGGTTACCAAGACAGGCTGTCGAGCTCTCTTTATGGATGGATGCCGCTGATCGGGTGTACTGTTGAAATTCCTCTCGGCTAAGGGCGATCTTGAAACTTTGCCTAAAAATATAATTAATTATTTATGAAGTGGTGTGCAATTGGGATTATGAAGGAAAACCGTTCAATACCCGTGCACAAAATCTGAATCACTGAGAACAGGGCAATCTCGTCCCAGTATCCCAGTACGTTCTTCTTGTTTATTAATGTAATGCACTTGTTGAGGGCGTAATCGCGGGAGTTGGCGGTTGGGTCAGTCAGGGTCAATTACTTCATCAACAGTTTTTTTAACTGCCCCACTACAGCCGTTTCTAAGTAATAAGATAAAAATGCAGTTTCCGTCGGCTGACGTGTGACCCTTGATGTTATCATGAATAGATGAAGTAAAAGGTATTTTGATCAAGGCTCTGAGCGAAGAAGTCGATCTCGACCGATGCACCCGCACCACTTCTCACCCTCCATCTCCGAGGCTTCTTGAGGGGGCCATTTTTTCTTTCCCTATACATTCACTTCTGAATTTAAGAAATGTATGGAAGTGAGTAAAATCTTTCACCACTACTTCTCAAAGAGGGAAAATATGCTGAATGTTAAGGAGGCTTGCAACCATCACATAGTGAGCAATAGCCCCTTCTCTTTTCTGAACCTTTCCATTTCTTTTTCCAGTCAAATCCCTCAAAGTTTTGATGGTTATTACGTTAGCCAACATGAAATGTCGCTCGTATTTATCCCATTCCATCACTTTTATGTTTCAACACAGAGTGAAGACCTCTTCAAAGCCTCGAAGCTGCCTACAACGATAAATTGGCTATCAGAGAGCGATAGGGTATCACGTTAAAATTGCTATTCGAAGATGTGAGATCAGAAAAATCGTTTGTGCGCATGCGTGGTGTACGACTTTAAACAAAGGAAGAGGGCAGCTATATTTCATGGAATCCTATGTGGACATTCTGCGGTCGGTGACCTCCCATCATCGTCGTAATGGCAGAGGTAGTTTCAGAACTTTCGGGATGGAGTTGGGAGCCTCAAGGATAAAGTTCATGGGAATCCATCTGAACTTGTGGATAGCCAAGCAACTTGGTACACCATCGAGTCAGTCCTGCTAAACTAATAGACAAATCGTAGAGAGGTTTCAGTGCTTTCACAACACTATCAAGAATCATTTGTCCGGATAGTACATTCGGTTGCGCATCAACCGAATGATGCGAACAAGCCAGTGGGAGTCGCCAGTGTCAGAATTCTACTTTAGAGCAGTAATAACGGACGGTTTGTTGAATCCATTGTAAGGGAAAAGGACTGATTCGATGATGTGTAAAATGCTTGAAAAATGGATATTCTCAGGCAGTGCCGTGAAAAAACGGCAATGGCGGCCACCTGCTGAAATCAAGCATTCACGAAAAGAAGGCGATGCTCTGTGTATGCTGAAACACTGTGGGATTGGTGCATCTTGAAATGCTAAAAGTAAGCGAGACGGTTACCACTAAACTATAGCCCAGTGACTCGTAGGAGCAAGATTTCGTTGTCAAGGGCTCAATTCAGTTATTATAAAATGTTCCATGACAACGGAAAACCTCATGTCGCGAGATCTGCTCAGCAGCGATTCAGGAATTGGGCTGCCTCATGCGTTGTGCAGCTCAGATCTTGTGCCACCCAAGGTGCACTTATTCAATTTCCTTGCTGGAGAAAACCCAGATGACGATGATTTTTGAATGTTAATCTCTTCGAGTCGTAGCCGAAAAAGTTTTAAAGCATCTATTCTTTGCGCAGTAGATGAGTAGAGTCGTTGATCAAGTTGAAAAATTTTAGATTTGAGTTTTGCTAATATTTCTATAACAAAAGTAATTTTTGTTCGAATACGATATCTTATACTGGCCACCCTAACAAATCTAGATCAATGTTCATATTGAAGTTCGTTACGGCGGATGTAGTGTAAAGGAAAGTGATGCACTCATACACACGCGTGGGTCACGGGTTCGAGTCCCAGACCGAACCAAAAAGCTTCCACTCCTCCGGGGTCGGTTAATTGGTACCAGACCCGTCTGGAAGGATAAAAACATTGACTTGTCCATTGCATAAACCACATACGCACTCAATACGCCACTATGATTCTGAATGGAAGTCGGGAAGCATCCCTCAGACAGGGGTTGGCGCTCAAAGGCTTTATCCTTTAGACTTTATTAAGATTCATTCAATTTTTTCATGATGAAGCTACCCGCGGTGAAGAAAAAAACGATCAGTACGACTATCAGACAGGTAGTATCCATGCTGCTTACCTTTCAAACACGAAACTTTTTGAGATCTGAGTATCGCCGGGGATCTCTTCACAATGGGGCTTTTGAACGTGGGAGGCTCATCGAAAGAATCTTCTGGCTTAATATGAACATTTCTGAATCACGTTAAAGCCCAGTAACTTCCGAAACCGCTCACCTGATTTTCTTCGCCGCATATCAGTGAAACCTTGAGAAGGCTGTTTTCCAAGTCATCAACCTCACCGGCGCCACTAACTTCTTCGGAATCCAAAGCAGGTGCTGTCGGGAGACGATCGCTGATTGCTAGCTGAAGAAATCTCGGGCTTGTGTGACTACACAAAAAATCTTATCGGAAAAGTATGCTGTTGAAGATTGGGGACTTTTCTCTTTTTCCCATTCTGTCTTCTATCATCATAACTATTCCTTGGGTTTCTGTTTTAGACCGTATCCAGGTTACCCAAAAAAGAAAATGCCAAAAGATAAAGTCTTCGGGCATCGCAGTGGCGTATTGAATGCATATGTGACCCAACATTGAATTGCGGTGAACAGTTAGTGTACAAGTCAGCGCTTTTTCTCCCAGACGAGTCTGATGCCAATCGACCGACCCCGGATGGAAAGAAGGCTTGCGTATCTTGGGCGAGTACAGGTCGGATATTCCAACCCGTGACCATGTGTGTGTGATAGTGCGCCATTTGTCACTACACAACCTCCGCCCTATCCAAAAAGTAATGCTAGATTTGGGGACACTACCCAAAAAAAAACGCCTAGAATTCCGGAGTTTTCGACCGCTTCACGCTGCAACTCGAACCATTGGCTGCAGGTGAAACGCCAATCCGAGCTCGCAACGATAAAGATCCTTCATGCCAAAAAGCAGTCCACAACTAACCTCTTCCATACTTTCGCTAAACAAGTCAATACTCTCGTCGTCAATCTCGCTACAGTGAAGTTTCTCCATTCTGCAGTCACCATTTAATCGCTCATTTGCGACAAGCCTGCAAGTAAGAGCAAACTTGAAACTGAAGTGTAGTTAGCACATCTCTCAAAGAAAAAAAAAAGGTCGGAAATGAGATGATCGTAGACTCCACTCACGATTGATTAACTGCTGCAGAATCGTTCTCTGTGTCTGCAGCAGGCAAGACATTTGTAGAAGTGACTTCATCGGAGTACCCCAAATCTTTCAGATCAACAACAGGATCTGAAATGTCGCGTTATCATCTAAGATTTACAGCAATGATGGAGGTTCAGCCGCCTCAATCGGTTCCGGTTTCTTCTATGAAAACACCACGAATCTAGCTGCTCAGTCGAAGAAGCTTCTACTGTATATATCGAGAGCATC